CTGGAGACTCCTGTTCCTAGTGAGGGGAGCTGAGGCTGGCAGGGCCTGGGCCACTCATTGGGAGTATTAGAGTGGCCTCTTCCTCACACAGGTTTGCAGAGTCTGTCCCCGGGGGCCCATGTGTCCTTGGAATCTCCACTCTTTACAGCCATCAGCATGTTTCTTCATTCCTCACTGTCTATCACAGGTCTGAAGTTCTCATTGATTGAGGACCTTGAGGCCCTGAGAAGGCTGTGGATGCTTTCAAGGCTACATAGCCTAGGAAGCAGGCCTCTAGACTCCTGGACCAGTGCCTCCACCATAGCTGGGTGGGATGAGGGGAGGGGCACCCAGAGCTGCTTAGAGGCCCCAAGGAAAGTCCGAGTACTGGAACCTGTTTCTGTTTTCCAGGCCCACAGTGGGAGAATTTGTAAATTTAGGTGTCCTGGAGGAGGCAGGCAGGCTGGCAAACTCGGATATGATCCTGGATACTCTCTCAACAGTCTGGAAGGCTTCACTTCTTGTTTGCCACAGGACAGTAAGGACTCTTATTGTACTCTGGGGAGAATGACTCTTTCCCTGGACTTTGGAGGAGGGCTGGATTTGCTGTGTGAAGAGTTTGGAGGAAGTTAGCTAGAATGTCAAGTTCTGCCTTTCTTAGGTGAAAGAGGAAGGCTTTGGTGCTTTGGGACTTCCTGCCTGCCTCCCTCACATAGCCCTCCAACTGGGCTCCAGTTTCCCTCCCTGCTCCACCTCAACCCCAGGCCATGGCTGGGGCTCCACCCTGGGATGTCTGATCAAATTGACCATGAAAGCTGCCTCTATCCTCCTGGTTCCCCCAAGATCCTTGGTTAGAATGGGTGGAGCACTCCTGCTCTGCCAGTGCTGCTACTTACCACGACCACCAGGGGGTGCTGGTGGACTCTGTGCCCCAGTCCTGGCTTGATCACCTCTGCTCTGGGCTTGTCTCTGCTTCCTCAGCCTTTCACCCACTCTGCCTCCCTGGCTCTTTGAATTTCAAAACAAGCCCAAACTTCAGAAGGGTTGCAAATACAGTGCAAAAATTGTTTTCTCCTGAATGTCAGGAGAGCAAGTTGCTGACATCAGACCCTACTCTAAATACCTCCCCAATCTTCCCACAGGGCTTGTATTGTACAGGGCACAGAAGTCAACATCAGAGGTTGGCAGGGACATGTCACTACCATTTAATCCTCAGATGCCACAGAGTTTGAGCAAGAGTCTCTGAGATGTCCTGATGGGCATCTAGCTCGGAATCAGCCACTGCGTTTGGCTGCTGTGTTTGGAGTCTCCTTCAGTCTGGGAGTGTCTGTCTTTCCTTGATTTCTGCAACCATGTCACTTTTGAAGGCTCCAGAACATTTAATTTGTAGACGATGCCTCATTTAGGGCCTGCCTGATATTTCTGCTTGATTAGATTCAGGTTATGGCTTTTGGCAGGACTAGCACAGAGTGACACTGTGTTCTCAGACACCCCTTCCCAGGTGCACGACTTCCATTCATCCTGCTTCAGGTGACGATAACTTTGATCACTTGATTGGAGTCTGCCATGGAAAAGCTACCCCCCTACTTGATTGGTTAATTGATTTTTGTCTTTTTGAGATGGCCTCATTCTGTAGTCTAGGTGGGCCTCAAACTCAAAGCAATTTTCCTTCCTCAGCCTCTTGTGTGCTGGCATTACAGATGTGTGTGTCCACCTGCAACTTCATCCTTTGTAACTTATAATTATGTTGTGGGGAGGTAGTCTGTGCTTGAGACTCTGAATATTCTCTCTCTCTCTCTCTCTCTCTCTCTCTCTCTCTCTCTCTCTTTCTCTACAGGCTCTCCCTGTAGCCCCAGATGGCAGAACTTACTATGTAGACCAGGCTGGCCTCGATCTCAGAGATCCAACTGCCTCTGCCTCCTGAGTGCTGGAACTTTAAAGGCATGTGCCACCACACTTGGCCTGAATATTCCTTTAAAAACTTTTTGCTGGGGTTGGTTTGATTCCCAGCACCCACATGGCAGTGCCCATGACTCTAGTTCCAGGGGGAATCCAATGCTCTCTTCTGATCTCCTTGGGCATTGCACAAGTGCACTTACATACATGCAGGCAATATACTCACACACATAAAATTAAAAAAATTAAAAAAAAAACTTTTTTGATTTATTTTGTTTATGAGTATGAGTGTTTTTCCTGCTTGTATATAAGTATAACACATGTGTGCAGTGCAATGCCCTCAGAGATCAGATCTCCTGAGTGTTGGATCCCCTGGTACTAGAGTTATGGTTATTAGCCACCATGTAGGTGCTGGGAGCTGAACCTGGGTCCCCTGCAAGAGTAGCCAGTGCCCTTAACCACTGAGCCATCTCTCCAGCCCTGAGACTCTGAATATTCTGATTTCATCCAGCTTTTGATTTCTTCTTTTATTATCTCTCCCACAATGGGCTCCTAGAAGCCATCGTTGTTATGCTATATCTTGATGCTTAGCTCTTCCCTTAACTGGCCTTTGGGAGCTCCCAGGCCCTTCCATCTGTGTCTGTCCCTCTTTACCCCCTGGGCCCCTCTAAGCTGTATGTCTCTATTTGTGCTCATTTTCCATGTACTTGTGGGCTGTGCCTTTCTTTTCTTATCTTGTTCTTTTTGGTTCTGTCTGCCTCTCTGTGGTGTGTGTCTGTGGTGCGTCTCTTTCTCAGTCTGCTTCCTCTTCCTCCTCCCTCTCTGTCTCTCTCTCACTCCCTGCCTCTTTGGTTGCTGTGCCTGGCCAGTTCTCATTTTGCCTGCATCTCTCTGTGTCTCAGTGACAACCCCCACCCCACCCCAAAACTACCCTTTTAGTGTAGTCAGACAGGAGTCCTGTGCTTGTTCAGTTTGCAGGCCACTTTTCTTCTAACGAGCAGGCAGAGTTGTCTCCTCTGCCCCCATCTCAGAGCTGGGAGGCTCAGGAACAAACTGTATGAGGGGGACCAGGAAGAGCAGGACCCCTTTGCACACCAAATGCAGGGTTTGTGACCCTGCCTCAGTGTGTGTCCATCTGTGCACAGAATGGCTGCCAGGTACTTCTGTGCCCAGGACAAAGGAAAGGAGAGAGGCAAGTTCTTGTCCCTGCAGGGGAGGGAACAGGGTAAAAAGAGGGGGTGTGTCTGGGCTTTCTTGGGGGAGTCTTCTAAGCAGGAGCGCCCCAGCCCATGGGAGGGGATAGGCTGCAAAGTGGGCAGTGTCTGTGCAGGGCTTTGCAGCTTGGAGTGTGTTCTATTATGTGGTTACAAAGGACAGACTGTCAGAGCAGTGTGTGTGTGTGTGTGTGTGTGTGTGTGTGTGTGTGTGTGTGTGTGCAGTGCTGTCTGGAGGGGAAAGTAAGGCCTGCGTAGGGTGGAGACAGTGACTGGCCTAGGAGCTCCTGGCAAGTTAGACAGAGGAAGGCTTGGACCACCAGCCCACCTCTCTTCTTGTGTGACAGGTAATGTGGTCTCAGGTACAAATTTCGCTTCAGGGGTGGTGGCACATGCTTGTAATCCCAGCATCTGGGAGGTGAAGGCAGTAAGATCATGAGTTCCAGACCCTAGCTCAAAGAAATAAAGTAAAACAGGAAACTTAACGTACCATATTTTCCTGGGACTAGGGGTATTGCTTGGTGACAGAGCACATGCTTAGCATGCACAGGCTCTGGGTTTGACTGCCAGAATATTCTCATAATGTAAGGAATAGAAAATAAAAATAAAGGCAGAAGAGGCCTCCTGGTCTGAGGGAAGAGGTGAGTTTGAGAGAAGACAGGGAAATGGCATGCTGGGGGTGTAGACTGGGGAAGTTAGGTGCCATCTATAGTGGGATGGATAAATGCATTTGCCGCATTCATACAGTGGAATACTACACTGCAGTGAAACATAAGGAATGCCTACTTTAAGTCAGAACAGACAAATGTTGCATGAGTGGAAGCTGTATAGTTGAGTACGTACTTGCAATTTTATTTTTGTGAAGTTTAAGAATCCAGTGAAATGATTCATTGACAAGAGAAGCCTCAGCAGTACGGGACTGAGTGGTTGGCATGTGGAAGGTGGTAAAGGCATATGGTTGATGTGGGAAGCTTTGGCTGAGAGGGGTCATGAGGTGGCTTTTGGAATGTAGTTACATTGGGTACTTGAGGGTAAGCTGTAGTAAGTAATACTTTTTTTTTTTTTTTTTTTTTTTTTTGGGACAGGGTCTCCCTGTAACCCCAATTGGCCTAGAACTCACTATGTAGACCAGGCTAGCCTTGAACTCACAGAGATCTGGCTGCCTCTGCCTCCCAAGTGCTGGGATTAAAAGAGTGTGCCACCATACTCGGTATAAGTAATATTTTTTAAAAAATGTATTTTTGGGCTGGAGAGATGGCTCAGCGGTTAAGAGCACTGACTGCTCCTGCAGAGGACCTGGGTTTGATTCCCAGCAACCACATGGCGGCTATGAACTATCCTTAACTCCAGTTCCAGGGGAATCCAAAGCTCTCTTCTGACCTCTGCAACATTGCATGACACAGGTGCCCTCACATTACATACAGGCAATACACTCATACACATAAAATAATAAATAAAAAATTAAAAAAATGTATTTTGTGGTGCTGGAAAAGTAAACCCAGGGCCTTACATATACTAGGCAAATGCTCAGCTCTTGAGTTTCATCTCAGCCAATTGAAGCCACACACTGAAACTTAATGTACTTAACTGCATTAATTCATACCCCAACAAAGAAGTAAATGGAAGAAACATAGATAGAAGCCGAGGAGGGGGGCGGTCTGCCATCCTTGGGTACTGGGATCTGCAGTCACTTTCTGGGTCCTGTCCACTGACCCCGCTAGTCTGGGAGCCTGGAATGAGTGTCCTGTCACCCCCACATTATTCTCAGTCCCCAGGCACTTCCTCCCTTCTTGGACCCATGAGGGGCTCTTGCTGTTTTTCCTTTGTTGTGCCTACTTTTCCTCTGCCCCTGCCTCCTTCCCAGAACCCCAGCCTTCACCTGATTTGACCTCTGGGTTTTTCTTCCTATAGCCAGAGGACCTGGAGGCCCCAAAGACCCACCACTTCAAGGTGAAGACCTTTAAGAAGGTGAAGCCTTGTGGCATCTGCCGACAGGCCATCACACGGGAGGGCTGCACTTGCAAAGGTGAGTGACTGCTGGGATCCAGGCCACATCTTTGGAGAGAGGATTGGCCAGGCCTGGGGCAGGTAGGGTCTCTGCTGGGTGCATGTCCTTGAGGTCCCAACTGGTGCCTGGCTCTCATCTGTTGGAGGATGTCGAGCACCCTAGATGACAAGCTTGTGAGTGTGTGATAACATGTGGCAGGTGGTGGATAGCATGATAACAGTGGAGACTGTGCCAAGGTACAGGCCTAACCTGTGGATGGCATGCAGGTGGCCTAGGGGTGTGTGGGTAGGATGTGGTGGTGTGTGAATGGCATGTGGTTGGGGCATAGAAATCTTGTGAAAGGCTTGTGGCAGGTGGATAAATGTCATACAGATGTCATGGTGATCATGTAGTTGAAGAGTGTGGTGGCTTGTGAAAGGTACATGGTTGACATCTGGAAGGCATGTCAAAGGTGCGTGATTGGCATATAGAAGGCATATGGTTGGTGTGTCGTTGGCATGTGGCAGGTGTGTGGTCGGTATGTGGAAAGCAAATGGTGGGCATGTGGAAGGTGCCTGAAGGCACATATTTTGTGTGTGAAAGATGTGTGGAAGGCATGTAGTTGGTGCATTGAAGGGGTACAGTTGGAATGTGGGAAGTGTGTGGTTGGTACATGGAAGGGTTGTGGTTAGTGTGTGGTTGTGACTTATGCCTAGCATTGGGAGTGCTGCAGAGAAATGAAGCCACTGCCTCCCCCTTGGGGTGGTTTGGGGTGACTATAAAAGGCCTCAAGGGGGCTGGAGAGATGGCTCAGCAGTTAAGAACACTGTTCTTGCAGAAGACCTGGGTTTGAATCCCAGCACCCACATGGCAGCTAACAACTGTCTGTAACTCCAGTTCCAGGGGATCCAACAGCCTCTCTGTCCTTTGCAGGCATTGCACGACATGGGTGCACCTACCTACATCCAGGCATAACACTCACACACATAAAATAAAAATAATAAATAAAATATTTTAAAAAGGCCTCAAAATAGAGTGGGCTACTGGGCTTTTTTCAGTGACTATTGTCTTGTGCTTTGGAAGGGCCTGGGGTGTGGCCTTACTGTCCCAGAGAAGTCTGTGTCTTGTCACAGATCCCGAAGAGAAATCGGCATCTGTGACTGATGTCACCATCCCCCAGTTTCCATTTCAGACACCAGCCTCTATCCAGTCCTGCATCTCCTATATCATCAGGGTCCCAGTGAGTCTGAGTTTCCAAGAACAGCTCATCTTCCCCTTGCCTGGCTGACAGCAACCCTTTGGCCCCTTCCTGTTTCCAGAGCCAACTCTCCAATCCAGCCTTCAGCAGCTTCCCTGGGTCTGAAGAGTGTGCGTCTAGTTATGCCACTCCTCTGGTCAAAGCCGTTGAAGTCCCCGCTGCCTTTGAGACATAGCCCTCAGCTGCAAGTTTTGGAGGGCTCAGCCCTGTGCATCCCACCCCATATCCTCATCCCTATTCCACACTCAAGCCAGCTGCCCCACCCCCATGCCAGTGGGCTGAGCGCCTTCCTGTCCAACCTCCCTACATATCAAAGTCCACCTGGGCCAGGCAAGGGGTACAAGGACAATCTTTAAGACACTTGCTGAAGACTAAGCACCCTTATGCATGATTTCATCCGGTGCTCACAGCACCCAGAAGATGTTGGTGTCATATCCATTTTGCAGATGAGGAAACTGAGACTGGTGGTGATCATGTCTCTTGCCAAGGCACTAGGCTGGTAAGTTTAGAGTGGGGGCCTTTTGGGGCCTGTGAGCCTTGGGAAAGCAGTTTGCTGTAGAGGTAGGAATATTTTTCTTGGCGGGGGGCGGGGGGGAGGCGAGAGAGGAGGAGAAGAGGAGAGGAGAGAGGAGAGAGAGGAGAGAGAGGAGAGAGGAGAGAGAGAGGAGAGCGAGGAGGGAGGTGTTCAGGCAAGGCCTGCATGGCAAGTGGTCCATCCACACAGGGCACTAGCTTGAGTCCAGGTGGCAATAGGAGTGTTTGCAATACCCAAATCAGCCACATGGTGTCACCCTCCTCTGAAGAGGCAGGGACTGATCAGTGAAGCTGTGGAGGACTGCTAAGGGTGGGCTTTGCATTTTGATTCTGACTGTCCTCTTCCTGCCCTGCACCTTTATGTCACATAGCTTAGTGTCCAGGCTCCCCTTGCCCTCCAGTTTCTCCCTCCTGGAGTCTTCCCCTTACCTCAAGGGCATCTGGCACTGCTGGGAGAGACATAGGCAGGGACATTGGGAGGGAGAGTCTTGGGCTGAGATGTGTGACCTTGAGCACCTGTTGGATAAGTTTCCTTGACTTCCAGATCTCTGCTTCTAGACTCAGCTGACTTGAGCCTGGCCTACACTCCAGACACACCACTAGGTGTCAGAACTGGGCCACTGAAGACCCATGGAGCAGGCCCAGCAAGGGAGGAGAGACTATGACCCCAGGTTCTGAGGCCCCATTTAGACCTCATGGGAGGACTAGGGTCACCTGACCTGGGGCAGGGCTGGGGTGAGTGGTGGAAGATGTAGAACCAAGTCTGTTGTGGAATCAGGAGGTTGTGGTGCCCTTAGGTGGACAGACCCTCTTATTCACCTATTTATCCATCCCTCCATCCTTCTATCTGTCCATCCTGTCCATCTGCCCATCTATTCTATCCTATGTGTCCACTCACCCATCCAATCTTTCCATCCATCCCTTATTGATTCAACCATCTATCCTTCATATGTGTCCATCCATCTATTCCTCATTTGTCCATTCATCTATACGTCTTATATTTGTCCACCCATCTATGGGTCTAGTCCATCCTATTTGTCAGTCCACTCATCCAGGGCTACCAGATATGTCTGTACAAGTTGTTACCTGGAAGTGGTGCCATAGTGGACTAAATTCCAGCCTGTGTTCTATTCACTGAGCTCAACTTAGAAGATTCACTGTCTTCTCTAGCTCCTCCCAGACTTTGAGTGTTGGCATTAGCATGGTATGAATCTGGGCTTGTGGCTGAGAGGTCGTAGGTGGGTTAGGGTGTGGACTGTTGGTCTGGAATCCAGTCTGCACATGGCACGTTTGCAGGCAGCAACCATGAGGAAAGCCTAGTTCTGGAAAGATGGGCAGTCCCTTGCCCTCCAGCTCTGACGTTTCTCTCTCTCCTTCTCCCTGCATTTTTCACTTAAAGTCATGGAGCTGGAGGGGGTGGAAGGGAGTCACAGAGTCTTTAGTGGAATCCCATTTCTGGGAGACTCCAAAGATGGACAAGGAGGATGAGGAGAAGTGGCACCAGATGTCCTGTGTGGCCTTGGCTAAGTCACCTCACAGCTTGAGCCCCAGTTTCCTCATCTACAGACCAGGAGACTGGACCAAGGATGTTCACTGAGGGAGTCAGGGAAGTGCCTGGAAGAGTCCCTTGCTGGGGTCTGAAAAGGTTAACTAGCTTACCTAGTTGGGCTGCTGCTTCATCCTCCATGTGCTTATGGGTCCTTCTGACACTCATGAGCTGAGCCTTCCTCAGGATTGGACATAGTGAGGGTACTGGCCTCAAGAACTATCCACTGCCCTGGGAAGACACTCATGGGCAGGTGTGCATGGAACCCAGAGGCAGAGCTGGCACAGAGGTGAGGGAGAGGCTGCCTCTGGCTCAGCAGACATGTTCTTGTTAGGTTTCAGCAGGGAAGGAATATACAAACTAGGTCCAGGGATGTGTGGGAGTTCCTTAATCTAAGTAGTGTGTCTCTCACAGGTTCTCAGGAAGTCTCATGATTACTAGGGGCCTCAGAAGGAGGGTGGATGGATCCAGAGGTTGGCTTGAGGGTCCTATCCACTAGACTAGTATGTCAGCTAGCTTGGAAGCCCAAGGGCTGCTGTGTGGGCTTGGTCTGGGACCACTTACCTTCTTGTGCTTTCTGGTGAGCCAGAAGCAGGGAGCAGCCACATGCAACCTCCTTACAATAGCGCATGCTGTGGAGACAATCAGCCTTTAGCAAGACTACCAACCCAGGTGTCCTCCCTAGCTGGATGTGAGGATACTTTGTTCCAGGGAATTCTTGCCCATGACCTCAGTGGGGACCCAAGTTTTCCTCCTGCATCTGTGGATCACTTAGAGCTGTTATCACAGGCAGCCTTCTGGAAGGATGAGGCTCGCCACTGTCTGGCTGTGTGACCTTGAGGGAGATGCCCAATGTTCTCTTTTCTTTCTATAAAGGGATTGGATTTGGTCAGAGGCTCTGAATGGTGTTTTTAGGGAACTGTACAGGAGGCACCTTAGGAACCCAAGTGGGCAGGAAATAGAGGAACTCAAAGGAAGGATTAAAGGGCCAGGGTTCTGGAGCCCTGCCCTCTTCTATAGCCATTGCTTTGGGAGTTAAATACATTGAGTTGGCAGGAGGGGGTGATTGTCTTGCACTTGGCTTAGGAGTCCTGGATTCAAATTGCATCTTTGAGCCTTTCCAGTATTGGATATATGGGTAGACAGAAAGATAGATAGATGAATGGACAGATGAATGGATGGATGGATAGGTAGGTGGGTATATAGGTAGATAGAGATTGATTTTAAGGAATTGGCCTACATGACTATGGGAGGGATGTGACAAATTTTGGTTTGTAGAGGGCCATCAGCTAGACTAGAGACCTGGAACAAGTTGCAGATCAAGTTCAGGTGGAGGGTGCTGACAGAGTTCCATCTTGCTTGGGGAGGTCAGTAATTTTCTCTTCAGTATTCAACTGACTAGATGTTGCCCATACTATGGAGAGTAATGTGTTCTGCTCAGACTCCACTGATTTACATGTCCATCTCATCTTAAAAGTACCTTTAGAGAAACATCTAGAATGTTTGCTCAAACATCTGGGTAATGTGACCCAGCTAGGCTGACACATAAAATTAGCCACTGTATATCTCCTGCCAAAGCCATGGACAGGGCCCACTGATGGCTCGGTGAGAGAGTTGGTGACCCAGTGGCTGGGGAGGAGATGAGGCCAAGCCAGGCCTGGGGTAATTATGACCAGGTCAGGTGCACAGAGGCTGTGTGCT